GTTTGAGTTTCTTCACAACGTCGAACCGCCATCTTTTAACAGCTATGGAGACTCTGGTGTTGCATTGACCCACAACAGACAGAGGAAGATCCTACAACATGTACCTTATTGCACGTCAACTTACTGTAGCTCTATACCTCTGAAAGTAACTTTAACTCTCGGATAACACAATTTCATTGTTCTATTATTGTTGCTTTATCTATTAAAAGCTCTTTTGAACTAACCTAAAATGTCCAACTTATCCACAACTGCCAAATATTTTCCTAGCGCAGCCTGCAGCAGGAAAACAATACTCCTGGTATTTAAATCCTCCAACTCTGCTTCAACAGCAGGCCATTGCATTATTTGTTTAATTCCACGGTGTCACATGACTTTTTGGAGAGGGTTGTGCTGTTTAACAATCGACTGCTGCCTGTTGAGGATATACAATGTGTCACTGCCGATCGCTCTGCTGGTTTTTAAAAACAACAGGGTGATCGAAATTTATTCATGAATATTCATAATCAATTTGATGTGGGAGCTCGGTGGAGTCCAAACCCTGTTGCACTGCATTTACATTCCAGTTACACATTGTAGAACTCAGAGAACCAACGACATGAATCATGTATCCGGCTATAAACTCGCCAACTGGCATACTAAAGACCCCTCACGGGCTTAAGCCCTGAAAACTATTTGAACTTGACCCCCAGCCTGCGTTTGCTTGCGATTACCAGGCCCTGGTCCTTCCCCTCGTGTATCTGCGAATTAGGTTACAGTGTTGGTTGCACGGGGGTGTAACGCGTGCGAGGGCACTTTCCCTAAAGACGTGCAGAGGAAAGCAGGAGGAGGCCGGGTGCAGGCAGAGACATCCAGCACATCACATGGGAATGACAGTGTGTGCCTCGGCAGCCTGTACCTGCCATGCAGGACCCGAGGCCTTTTTAATTAATCATCACACAGGATGAATAATTCAGCCATTATCGCTGGGAATCAACAGAAACGTAGGTTTTCCTTCGGAGCTCCAATCAATCTGTTTGCATGTTTCACTTAATAACCTACAGATTAGGGCCCGGCCGGAGGTAAACATACCCTCTAGCTAATAGGCAGTGGCGGCATGTTGTAAACTAAACAGATAGTCCCTTGATTCAGCAGGTCTACTAAAGCTATACTGTTTTCACAGTCCTGCGGTTAAATATTATCATGCAAAATGACCACAGGTGATTTACAGCCTGGCAACTGCTCATTATTTTTTCAAAAAATGTTATATGGGGAAATGAAAAAAAGAAAAATAGCTAGTTTTAAACTCAGTTACAAAGAAAAACCTTCATGACAAAAACCTGTTTTTATGATGGATACTATTAATTTACAAATATACAGAAAATGTCGCTTTAGTAGGCTTCCTATATGGATTACAGCAAAAAAAATAAAAGCACAGAATATTACTTTGCGAGAGTCTCTACACATAGGTAACCTGTTTTTACTTAGATAATAAAAAAATGATTTGAACATATGAAATTATTCATATTTTTATAATAATAACTTAGAACTAGAAACCAGAGGATCGGGTGAGCTAGCAGGAAGCCCCACAAAACAGCAACTAGCAAAACGCATTGAAATGATTAAAACTAGAGTACTCAGAATTCAATATGATGCAAATGAACAGCATCAAAGAGAGAAAAACGCTCAGCAGTCACAAGCAAACCCTCAATATTCATCAAATACACAGCACACGGGTTTTAGTAGAATATGGGCCAGGCGTCTGAACTTGTGAGCACAAGTACAGTACGCACGGCGGAGAAGCTAAATGGAATTCAGCCCATCATTCATTTGCATTAACACACCTGTGTTTTTTTCCCAGATTGACATGTGGAAATGTCTTCCATAAAAAGAAAAATACTAGTAAGAGCCCTTCTCACCGGAGAAAGCAAACCAAAACCAAACCAAGTTCCAAGTGAAAAACAAAAACGGATGTGCCAATACTCATAATGTATTTACAACTACCAAATAATGGTATTGCTTAAAATGAAATCACATAGGACAAGTGGCCCTTTACATCCTATTCATTGCGAAATAAATGTGTATTTTCAAATTTGCCTGCCGGTATGGTAAGATGTGTTTGGTACCTCCCACCATTGAAAACAGATTTTCACAGTCATGTCACACAGGCTTGTAAAATATGTCTGAGACGTTTTAGCAAGGACATTTTGCAAAACGTTTGGAAATGATGCAGCCGCCCATGTTTTGTATTCATACAACTTAAACATCAGTATTCCTTTAAACGATTCAATATGGAAGTGGCCATTTGCCTCAATAAATTAATTTACAGTATGCTCAATCCCCCTCAATAGGCATTGAGGTAGATGTCACAAGATTCCTTAGCAATATTTAAATAACTTAAATCAGTTTACATTAAAAAACAAATACACCGCTGATCAGTTTATTTTTGGCCTACAGTCTGTCGAAACAGTTCCCAGCATGTACCATTATTCCTGCATTGAAGCCCTCCTTCTGATCCTCACATACTATCACCTTGACCTGACTGAACATCCCTGGGGGGGAACTAAAAAAAAAAGAAGAAAAAAGAGCAGCTCTGTGTTTCCTGCTGATGTCACCGATGTGATATCAATAGTTTCTCACTGGGGGAGGGATTTACCGTTTCTTTTCTGGTGTTCATCTCCGAGCATCGCCTGAAGAGGCTGTCAGGAGAGGGGGAGGGGAGGCCTCCTGGTCCCTTCCCACTCCAAGGACAGCTTGGTGGAGTGGGGGGAGGGACGAGGGGGGGCAGAGGAGCACTGATTGAGAGCAACACCTGTCAGGTGAGCCTTTTGCAGTTGACGGCCCAGAAGGAGCGCCAAGTGGACGGCTATGACTGCTAATCTCTGACGTGGCAACCTGCCGGGCTCTGCCTGTCTCCACAGGGTGGGGTTGTGTGTGTGTGGAGGGGGGGGCGGGGGGGGGGTGTGGGGGAGACTGGTGGTGGAAGCTCCAGGAGCCCGAGCGCTAAGGCTTGTTCTGGGGCTTCAGTCCTGCAGAATGAACCGCGCTGATATGCTCTGAATGCATTTCATTATCATCATCGTGATTACAGCCCTAATTGTGTGTACTCGGTAATGTGCTACAGCGGCCCCCCTCCCGGGACGTGTCTGAGGTACTGAATGATTAAAACATGTACGATGAACCGCGCATCAAAACGTCCCAGCGGGCTCCCTCGCGAGATATATGTAAGCGGCTCCGGTGACACTTGGAGCAAGCAGGCGGCGGAGAGATGGCGTACCGAGGGTTGGACGGCTGAGGAGGAAACTGCAGGCGATAACAAGGCGGCAGGTGGATTTTAGAGATGCAGGGGATCGACCTGAGCTGACCCCACCCTTATCCATAAACCTATACCACATAACCTCTACACCTTCAGACACGACTCCAGTGCAGCCTAAATAATTCCACTCCCACACAAAAAGTAAGACAAAGGCCGGGGATCGGATTATGGCTGGGGTTACTTTGGCCCGCGCGGGGGCCTGTTCCTCCGACAGGAGAGGATAAAGTTTTTGTGACAGTGTTTGATGAATGTTTCATCCAACATTCATGCGTTCCCGGGCTGGGATCGGGTCCCCAGTCAAAACCCACCAAAGACACACAGCAGGTGTGTGAAATATTCATTCGCTACACGCTTCATTAAGAATGAAACATACCACGGTTCATTTATTCATCCCGATTATCGAAACAAAAGACAGAAAAATGAGAGATTAAAACACGGTGGGCACGCTATTCTATGTTTGTCTCACAGATTTGTAACAATTTGTTTTGTGACAAATAACTCTGCCTGTTGAAATCCTGCTGTCATCTTGCTGAGAGTCAGGCAGCTAGTGAGCGAGGAGCTTTTTCATGTGCGGGCCATAACAAATCACTGTCTGCCTGCGTCTCCCGCTCGGCATCCCGCTGCAGCAGTTCCACCTCTGACCGGTCCAGGGGCAGCCGGGGACTCATCGCATTACGCATGCTGATATGTATCTGAGCCATCAAGGGGGGACGGGACAGTTTTCATATTTCTAATTAATTGACGATGAAATGTGACAATTACTGGCGCCTCTCGTTGAACGGCGGCTGCGCTCGGACAGATGAAATGAGTGATGTTGCGCCTGTCAGGGATGGAGCTCATTCTTCTTTTTCTCTCGGAGTGGTGAATGTGTCATTGTTGAGTGCCAGTGCTGTTTCAACACAGGCCTAATCTCGCTGAGTGAGTGTGTCACATTGAATGCAAAATTTCCCTGTGGAACACATTAAAGTTTCATCTAATCTGCTCTAATTAAAACGAGGATGTGCAAGTGCCGACACTGCCCAAGGCTGCCAGTGCTGTTTCGTGTGAGCCATTATGTCTCAGAACACAACCATTATTCTACCTAGAGCAAACATAAAGACATGTTCAGTTTGCATTACAAGTGTATTTAAACTGTAATTTTTATTTCAAAACGCAGTTCAAATATAAAAATTCACACAGACACTATACGAAATATAAAATGTATAAATTGCTTATTACCACGGTGCATGTGAGTAATTACATTATCATTAACATATGTGAGGAATGTTATTGATGGTGAATACTTTGGATGCATGCTGGCAGTCTGTCGTGGGTAACAGATTGACTGGCACTCGAGTGAAGTGGAGACTACATAGAAAGCCAGGGATTGGGACAGTATCAACTGCATTTAATCAGTTTTTCTTCTTGCTAGGGAAGGTTAAAGGGGAAAAAAACACAGCCGCAAGAATGAAGACATGAGCTGTGAGCAGCTTGTTGGATGGTTTGACACTGGACTCATTTGTATTGATTTCATTATACAATATTATATCACATACCATTTGTCGAGTCTTCAACTTATTATTGGTTTCACTCTGCAGATGATCTATGTGCGTCTGGGACTGAAACTATCAGTAAGTCTCATTATGAAATCGATGTACTGCCGTTGACACACACACAGCATGCAGAGAACTATTTATCTCCGCGGAGGAAGTCCCTCCTTCAAACCCCGCCCACGTCGACGTCACTTCCACCACAAGGGGAAAACATGGCTGCCGCCAGTCCGCCAGCTTCGGCGAGAACACCGACCAGAAATGTAGTCATTAAGACCGAGCCAGAAGCCGACGAAGACCTGCGCATTTGCCCGGAAGAGGTCCCGTTTAAGCGGGACCCTGTCGTCCCGCTCCTGGCCCCGGTCAGCGGGCTGCAGCCGCTCGCCTGGTCACAGGATCACCGCCTGGCTGTGTGCACCACCAGCTCCGTGTCGATGATGGAGCTGGTGTGCGACGTCCACAGCAGCCAGCAGGAGCTGACGCTGCACAGGACCTGCATCCCCGTCCCGACGGAGGCTCCCAAACTGCGGGTAAATGCCCACCCGCCTCCCGCTGTTTCCTGCTGCATGGAGGGAACGGCGCGGAGACAGGTAGCCCTGTGGCGTTAGCTTAGCTAAGCGACACCGGTGACCGTCACCCTGGAGCCGGGTGGGCTGATGACGTTCTGTGACGTCACGTGGTCTCTGGTAGTCCTGTAATGTGTCATAACCAACAAGCACAGCTGTTCGCGTAGCGCTGCTTCACTCTACTCTAGCAGGGGGACGTGCCACCAATTCTCCAAATGCAACACTGAATACTCTGCCCCCCCCCCCCAGTCTCTCTAGTACTAAGAGGTCAGCCAATGATTAAAAGCAACCCACAGGGTATCCGCTGGACCGCAACAGCAACCATTCCTTGCCTTGGTACAACAAGGTTGGTACAACGAATGCCTCCACCAGTTGGAAAAACATCCTTACATAATGACAACTAACCAAGTGAAACCAGTCTGGTTTTGTCTGTAGATTAGTTGATAATCCATCCAGTTGTGTGTGTGGTTTTTTCTTTGACTTAAGACTTCTGCTCTGTAACGTTGGACCTTGTGTGCCGTCCACATGCCACCTGTGTGAGCTCCAGTGAGGTAACGGAAAGCAGAACGCAGTGTGGTGGCACTTTAATCTTTAATCTCCAGCCGTGGATGCGTTGTGGATACGCAAAGCTCTTGGTCGTACAACAACATTTTCAAATGGTTGGCACTTCTTCGGGCTAAAAGATGTACCTTAAGATTGATTTGTTTCAAAGTATTTGCATTTTCAGTGGTGCAAAACGCAAGCTTTTGCCTGTCTGCTCTAATGTCCTTCACGTTTGTCTGCATGCAGATGTATTTTATTTATCTTGCCAAGTGTTTGAGCCAGATAAGGACAAGCCCCAATAGAGTCAGCAGTGTTTTTTCCATTTACTCTTGGTTTTTCAACAACATGCATCTATTTATCTATGCATCTATTGGAGGTGTTAAGTAAGACTAGGTGATTACAACGTGACGCGTGTGCGTCGTCTACTGCAGAGTAGCCACTTTTTGTCTCCTTGTCAACCAAACCTGTGTAAACACAGCAAGCTGCTATTCTCCTGTGTGCTATTAGTTTAGCGGCGGCGTATTTCGTTATTTACCGAACTGAACGGAGCGGATGATTAAAGCGACAGAATACAAATGTTGATGGGAAGAGAAACTGAAAAACAATCTTGCTGTGGTTGAATCTGCCTCGGCGCAGCTGCTCTGGTGTGTAAACATGATTGTTTATAGGTTCGTCCTCCGGTCCAAAAATCCACTTGGCAGATGAAATGCTGGATGGAGCTGAATTTTATAATCCGCCCGGCACAGTGGCAGACAGGCAGCGTTGCTTTCCTGCTGTCATTTCATAGATATGATTAAGTGCTTGTAAATAGGGAGTGGGGGGGGGGGGGGCGGCAGACAAAGGCGCGCTCAAAGAGGTCCCGTTCTGTTTAATACATCGTTTCTAAGTTAGCACTGACTCTCCAGCAGTCCAGCTGCAAACATACTTCATTACATATTGTATACATATGTATCGGACCTTTTTAACCTTCACTTATGATTTCCACTCTGAAGGTGGGACCGGCGGCGGAGCTAGCTGAAGCAGTGGGGAAGTTCTCGTCCCACCCCGACCCCTCGGTGAAACAACTCTTCCTGGCCGACCAGGTGATGAACCCGTCAATGGGGCCGCTCAAGGGAATAAAATATGCCAGCTGGTCCCCGTTGGGCTGCGACTCTAGCGGGCGCTGTCTGCTCGCCTGCCTCACCCTCGACCACCGGCTCACCATCCACAACAGCCACAAGCGCCTGGAGTGGAACACGCTGGTCAACCTCACCAAAAGGTACGGCGCCAGGCTAAAGGAGCGAGGCTATTCCAAAAAGGACAACAAGCCCCCGCAGGCCGACCTGCAGGACTTTGACGAGCTGCAGCGGCGCTTCCGCATGCAGACGCCGTTGAGGATGGAGTGGTCGAGCGTTTACACAACCAAACAGGTGCAGCCGGACAACTCGTGCAAAGACACGGAGATGGTCCTCCTCGCCGTCCTGATGGAAAACGGCGACCTGGTCTTGTGGAAGTTCGTACTGCCCTACCTGAGCGAGGCGGACGTCACGTTTTACGACATCGTAGAGTCGGGCGTCAGCAGACCCAGCGACCTGGCGTGGTGGGAGTACGAGAACGGCGAGCGGCGGATGAGCGGCCTGATCATTGGTAGCGAGGCGGGGCCCGTCAAGATCGTGCCGGTCAGCCTGGCCGGAGTGAAGGGCTACTTCACCCTGCGGCACCCGGTCATCCTCTGGAAGGAGTGCGACGAGCTCGCCGTGGAGAACCTCAAGTGTGTCCCGATGATCCACCCGATCCAGAAGTCCAGCTGCAGCCTCATCGTGGCCTCGCGCGGCTGCTACGTCTTCTGGTGCCTGCTCCTGATTTCGCCGGCTGGACTGAACGTGCACAACTCCCACGTGGCGGGCCTGCACTCGCTCCCGGTGGTCTCGCTGGCAATCAGTCAGCACGGCGTCGCGGTGTACACATGCTCCCTCGACGGCCTGATGAAGAAGCTGACGCCCACGTTTACGGAGAACACGTTGATCTTCAAACAGGAGGACCTGCTGCAGTCCGAGAGCCTCTCTGGGAGGCGGATACACGGGATCGCTGTGAGCCACAACGGAGCGTACTGCGCCCTCGCCAGCACGCCGGGGATGGTCGGCAGCCACCACCCGATCAGCAGGACCTACCAGGTTCACTTTGTGGCCCTGAAGACGTCGGAAGAGGCCGCAGCGCTGCTGCTCAAGTCGCCCGCGCAGAACTTGTACAAGACAGCCGACCTGCTCGATCTGGTGAGGTGGCAGGTTTTGAAAAACAAGTGCATCCCCGCGGCGCTGCTGGACGAGGTCGACCGAAAGATCCAGGAGGTCGACTCCCCCTACTTGTGGCGCTTCAAGCTCTTCCTGGTGCGGATACTTTACCAGTCGCTGCAAATGCCTCCCACGGACCACCACTGGAAACCGACGCACGAGGAGAACAAGGTGCTTGTACGGGACGAGGAAGAGGAGGAGGGCGAGGGGGAGGAAGATGAGGACAAAGACGATGCGCCGCTGTTGGAAGTGAAACAGGAGGAGGGGAACCCGGAACAGCAGATGGAGGAGGTGCAGGCCTGGATCAATGCCGTGGAGACCCACATGATGAGAGAGAACATGAAGAAGGTGCTGGGGGTGGTGTACCTCAACACCTGGATTACTCAGAACACCAGCATTCCCACATGCGGGCTGGTGGAGTACCTCTCCAGAGACGGCAACGACAGAGGTTCAGAGGTAAAAGTTGCCTTCTTACCATCAAGTTCACTTTTTGTTCCATGAGCCGCGTCACAGGTCGACGATCCCTTGCTGTGTACAATTCAACCGACTGCAGACGCACGGTGTGAAGGGCCACTCCAATGTTTCATATCTGCTGTAGCAATCATTTCTCTAAAAGGTCCCAGGGAATTCCCTCCTTTCTTCCTTAATGTGCTGCTTTTGCAATTTTCCATCTTCCATCAAACAATTTATTTTATTAATTGTTTGGTAAAGCCACCGCTTCTCCGAATAAATTTGCTTATTAAGTTGAATCGCCTTCCGTGGCTCTGCGTGTGTGTGCGTTTGTGTCTTCCCTCTCAGGTTCTGATTGGCCACATAAAGAACAAGATGAACAAGCAGACGTTCTCGGAGCGCTGCAGCTTGTGTCAGGCCGTGCTGCCCTTCTCGGACCACAAACAGGCCGTCTGTAAAAACGGTCACATCTGGCTCAGGTATGGAGACGGTTCTCTTCCCCGAGCTCAACGCCAATCCACTAAAGATGCTTTTTTATTAGCTTTAGCCTCAACGTGCCTGGTGGGACATTAATTTAATTTGAATGCCAAATTCCTTCTACGGCGGTTTGTTTATCTTCACAGAGCAGTAATCAAGCCTCCCACCTTTTGATATTTACACACGCGCCACTCTCGTCGTCTCATAAATATCATCTGTCAAACGCGTCTCCTGGCTTCTCGCTAGCTGGAAGACGTGACGGTTGTGGCGGGCACTGAGAGGGGGATCTGTGCCCGTCAGAGCAGCTCCTGCTCAACGTGTGTGTGTGTGTGTGTGTGTGTGTGTGTATGTGTGTGCGTGCGTGTCCCTGCCTGCCAGCCAGCTCTCTCATGCCGTCCTCTCGCTCTCCTCCAGGTGTGTGTTGTCATACCAGGCCTGCCAGACGCTGACGTTCAGACGTTGCCTCCTGCTGGATACCATCTCCAGACTGCCACAGCCTGAGGGTAAGCGCCACTTTCCATCTCTCTCCACCTCCGCTTCATAGTCCCAGTCTGTCACCTGCAACGTCGGTGTCTTCATCCCGTTCCGCCGTTCAGGTCGACGATTTACATTTTGGAGTTTTGGAAAAGTTATTCCTGAAGTAACGTGAATGATTGTAGAAATGTTTTTTTTTTGTCTTTGTGCTAGAATGGACAAAAGCTAAGTACGCAGCACTAGGGCGGATCTCTCGTTTCTCCTAATACCAAGTTTTGATAAGGATAAACCCCAACTAGTTTGCAATTGACCCGTCAATCATAGCGTGGGTCAAAGGTAATTTGTTTAACCCTGTTTTCAATGCTGAATCAATTGGTATATTATCAACCTATCAACCTTTCTGTCTGCTTGTCCCGCTCTTCGCTTCATCCAGAAAGATATTCAGTGGGTGCAGTTAGTCGCAGTTGGGGCTCCATGGCAGCTCTGACTACTCCAGAGGAGCGGCAGGGGGCGGGGCATTATAAAGGGTCAATTGGCTTTCGTCACATGGGAACATGAGCGGGACAAAGACTTCAGGCAGGAACCATATCTGGCACAGGAAAGATCAATATGCTACACGTAGCGATACGTTCTTGAATTATTGATAATTCCACCCAAAGTTGTCATGTAAACATCCGATCCCCTGAGTGAGGCCATTTAACGCCGGGACCCAACCTGATTGATTCGATCAGTCTGATACACAGATGTTTCAGTGAACGTTGAGACGAGCATGAATTATTTAAAGTTAATTGTACTTGTCTGGAGCACATCGGTCACATGTCATATGAGTGCAACATTGGGTGCATTCGGATCCATCTTGATCAATAAACTCCAGTTCTATAAAGTGATTCCACTAATTGGATCCTGAAAGGAGTACTGATTGATGATGAACCGTTTATCCTGACGGGTTTGGTGCCAGCAGCGTTTCCTGCAGTGGTTAGAGTTGGGAGAGCAAAGCATTGAGGTTTGGCCCCCGGCGGGCTGCTACATGCACCCCAGGTCTGTCTGGGTCTCCGAGCAGCTGAGGCCCGGCTCCTCTGGTCATTCCAGCCTGTCTGAGCTGCACACTGACCGGTCGGGGCAGTTGTGGAGTATGTGTCAGAACAGGGTCCTGCCTCCACAGATTCCTGCCTTCTGTTCTATTTGGCTGTAACAGCTGCACTCGGTCTGTGGAGTAACTTGCTTTATCTTCCTGCAGATCCGGAGTGGATAAGGAAGATCCTGCAGGCGCCCTGCACGCTCTGTGACTCGCCGATGATCTAGAGCCGACCGATGGGAGGAGCCTCAGGGCTTCATTAGACGCAGCGTCCACTTTCGTCACTGTTTTTTTAAATTATTTTTTTATTCATGTTCATTTTGTTCAAGGTTCATTTCTTTATATTGGTATCTTAATAAAATAAAAAGGATTATGCGTACTAGCTCCTATTTCCTCAGTATAAGTATAAGCCCAAGGTTTCCCCTGGTGGTGGGTTTAATTCCTATTTGCCAAGGTAAAACAATTGACTTAAACTTCAGATTTTTTCACTTTCTTTGTTCTAAACCAAATTCCCAGCCTGATGCAGTGGTTTTAAAATTTAGGATTTAAAATGTACTTTATGTGGAGGTTTCTATTATTCAGTAGAACTTTAGGGCGCCATAAATAAGCTCCCTCATTTTCCTTATTTTGACTATATTTTCAAACCTTTTGGTGTAGTTTTTATTACAGCTAAGCCAAACTTACTCAGCAAGTCCTATTTTAGTGAGAGTTTTCTTTTTTTTTTTTCTTCTTTTTTTTTTTTTAACTGAGCGCAACAAATAATTCACTCTGAATAATACATACTCTGAAAAAAGAAAACTCAACATACCTACTTTAATTGGCACTGTGAAACAATTTCCAAGCTGTGGGTGGTGGAGGAGGGAGGGAGGTGGGTGGTGGCGGCGGCGCTCAGTCATTCCCTCAGATGAGGACTTCCGCTAATGTAAACGCAGAAGAGATTGGAGCGGGCGAGGTGGTGGATGAGATGAGCAGGAGGCAGGAAGAAAGCGGAAAGTGTGCTTAAAAAGCCGGCGCGGTCCGTCCCGCGGGAGCGCGTCGTAATGAGATTCAGCAGTAATGAGGGACAGAACACGCTGCCAGATGTGATTCTAATTCCAATCAAGGAGGGGTTGGGGAGGAGGGAACTGGAGAGCATATTGTTAAATACAATTAACCCTTTTTTCCCTATTTGGAGGAGAACATGGTCTGAAAGGAGGGGTTACAAGCACCTTGTTCTGGAGGCTTTGGGAGATCCGTGGCAGGTTATCAAGGAGAAAGGCGGACCAGAGCGGAGCCTTCTTCTCATCCCACCTTTAACGTCAGCGGGGGCAGTAGAGGTGGGCCGAGGGTCTGTCCTCCCTCTGGTGACACTGGAGATGATAGCCTGCCCCGAGGGGAGAGCAGGCAGCTCGGCACAGGACTTCGTAAAATAGCAACTTTTCCTTTTCTTCTATTATTTCATGTGAAAGGCCACATTTCTCCACCCAGTGGTGTCATTTATTGGCCCAGGACTTGGTGGTGGTTGGGGCGCTTTTGGGGAAGAAAGGGACGTCTCTGGCTTTGATAGAAAGGGACTCATTCATCTCATTGTTCTATGCGGTCCTGGCGGATAGATCAGTTGGAGGAACACAGCGGAAAAAAGCATCCGTGAAGGGTCCAAAACAACACCAGTAAAATATCTTATTACGTTTTCCTACCCATTTAGAAATAACGCTAAATTACAGAAACTACTCATCCCGTTGTTACCCTGCCAACAGATGATCATCATCCAACAGTGCAAAAGCTTCTGTCCCACTTGCAGTTAAACACAGCAGAACAAATGCGTCCAAACAGTTGATCAAGAATGTTCATTGGAAAGAACAGTTGGAGAAGGAAAAAAAAACTTTCCAGAACTTTCTCATATGGGGGGGTGGGAAGTCTGCAATTTAAATTGTATTAATCTGTAGTTCAATTTGAGACTGCTCAACCTTTGCCAAAATAAGAAAAGAAACTTAAGTCAAATTTGCAATTTTATCATGGGAAAATAGTCTTATTGTAGTGAAGGATACAAAAGAAGTTTGTGTTGTTTTGGGGCCTTTGGTGCCTCCAAGGTCCCAGCGTTTAGTTTTTTTCTCTCATGTGGGGGGGGGGGGGGGGGGGTTGGTGCGCGGGGTTCCAGTTTGTCAAGTGGAAGTGGCTCCTCAGGTTGTATGTTCCTGTCACTGATAGGTGGAGACCAGCACTGTTACAGAGGTTAGCTGTGTTTGGTTGATCCTCCTCCCGCTCTAATATAATAATCCGTCAAAGAGCAGCTCCACCAGTAATTACCTACTTCCCCACCCTCTTCTCTCCCACTGTCTTTGCTCTCAACACTTCAAACGGGGGATTTTTTTTTTTTTGCATACAATATTTATATCCTTTATTTCGGTGGCGGGATAACATAAAACATTCATGGCACCTTTTCACACCTTAATTTCATGTGATATTCCTTTTGTTTTGTTTAGATTTGATTTTGAACATGATACGTCCCGCCGTATTCTCGCAAGACTCTCAACTCATTGTCGCTTCAGAATATTCCGGTTTGCAATGTAAATCACGGCAGCCGCTGACATGCGACTGCGTCACCTCGGCGGGATCGCGACACATTGGGAGTAGTTTATGGGGATAAACGGCATGAGAGGGGGGATATTTGTCAAACGCCAGCGGCGTCATCCGGTCTACGCCACTCGGGTTGTTTCAGGCCTCTGTGGGCAAATCGCTCACATCTGCTTCTCTTGATGAAGCATATTGGGAATTTAGTTGTGATTTCTTTTGGGTTCCAACCAAAATTGGTTAGGATAGGACAAACATTAAATTATGAATACCTTTTTGCAGGACCATCATTGTGTTGAAGCACTCTGAAGTGTATTTAAAATGCAGGTTTAGTAAAAAAACGGAAATTTGTGTTCCGTTTTTTCAAAAGTTTTCTTGATTAAACAAAAAACCAAAACAAAGAACAATCGCAATCCTGGGAAATAGATTGCTAGAGGATGTCATTCATATCCCACACTAAGAAAAGACGCGGTGTTATCTCGCCTCACCGGCATCATTAAGATAAAAAGAGGAGAGAGACAGAATATGACACTAAATCAATAGTCTCCCCCTTGGAAACCCTCGTGTTTCTCCTGAAATTGTTCTAGCTCTATTGGAGTGTGCTAAGAAAAGGCTTCATATTGACAATGAAAATATAAACAGGGTACCAGTAGTTAATACCAATAGACCGTAACATATTGTTTGATAAACATAAATGCAATAATAGCTTTTTGTCATGTTAGTGGAAAAATGTGCTTTTTGGGCGGAGCTAACTTTGCCCTTTTTCCTCACAGTGACGGTGGGTGTAGCATCTGTAAAGTTAGAGTCACAGTGCTGACATCCTCCACCTCCGCCACCTCCCTGTGAGGCTGCTGTTTGTAAAGTCTTCTAAACCACATCACCCCCACGCCCCCGCCCAAAACTTGTCAGTGCTAATGAAGTCGCTACGCAATGTTCTCTTGTGCTCTCTGTGAACTGGGGGGTGGGGGGGACATGCTTGTCTAACTCGTTGACTCCCCCGCTCTGCCGTCCCCGGGGAGCAGAGGGAGGGAGGGCGGCGACCCGAGACCGGCCGAGTGAGGGAGGGGGGGCGGTGGCCGGTGGGTGGATGTCCATCATTAGAGTCGCTATTTGTTCCCGGCTTTGAGAGCACTGAGGTGGAACTAATACTGAACAGCAGAGCGGACATGGGGAGGGACGGCCCCTTTTTTACTGCTACATTAATTAAGCTCACCCTCAACATGTTCCCCGTCTCCTCGTCTTCAGATGTAATTAGGTGTGGGGGGGCAAACAAGGACTCATGGTTTCACAGTTACTCCTCTAAACCGAATACAAATAGTGAACAATGGCCCCACAAGTTCACAAACTCCTAAGCGAGGTTTCACATTGATTCAAACAATCTGAACCCCCCCAAATGTTCTATTTACAATCTGATCGGAAAAATAACTAAAATGATTAACCAAACAAAGCAACAAGGTCAAAAACACACACACACACACACACACACACACACACACATCCCAGGGTTTATTTGTGTCAATCAATGCTCCCAAAAAATGAATGAATGAGTGAAGCTGCATACAGAGATGGATTCCAACCGGGCAAAGCAGGCAACGTGCCCCCGGGCCCCCGGCCCTGCAGACCCTCGGGGGGCCCAAAGATTCTAGATATTTTAGGTTTTACCAGGTGGCAATTAGCTCGTGGTGATTTAAATAATGGCACATTTGTTAGTGGCTCTGCAGAGCATATTTTCCCAATCAACCATTTGCTAAGGCCTGAGCTCAGGTGCTCCTCCGTAGACCAATCACAGTGTTTGTTTATTTCTAAAGGACGCTTCTTAAATCAGGTCAGATCACAGACTTAAAGTCTTTCTGACAACCAATATCATGTTTTTGTCTTTGAAGAGAAATGACATGTTTCGTGTTTATGAACCGTTTGTCTAAATCACAGGTTCCTGACCTGGGGGCCGCTGTGTAAATGTCAGTTACACCTGAGATGAACATTACAGTTTAAAGGGACGTAAAAGAGCAGATATCTGTGCTTTAGTGGTTTTCATTATCATATGTTGAAAGCTGTGACGACAATGAGAACATTTGCTTCTTAAAGGCATTTCACAGCCCGTCCTCGGGTAACTTCTCTCAGCTAAAGGGTTTTGCTTAATGGGCCCTAAGTTTGATTGATGGACAGTCGGCTGTTTGTCGCTATAGAACTTTATTTTGCCCTTTTTCTCCCTTCAAGGCGACGGGGAAGAGAACAAGAGGCCCCGGTGGCTGTGCCTCGGCGTGCCGTTCGGTGGATCTTTAGTGAAACACAGATGTTCAGCGGCGCCTGCAAGACGTCGGGTGGCATGATGGATGTCTGTCTCCATCAGCGCTGGCAGCGCGACGTGGCAGCGCGGCGTGACAGCGCGACGTGACAGCTCTCTGTATTGGTGACAGGCTGAGGTTCCAGCCCAGACAGATTGCCTTCAGGTGGCTCCATTTTCTAAATCTCGCCGAGAATGTGCAGCGCTTAACTTTTCTTTTGAAGGCTGATGGGCTCTCTGTGCCTTTTATATTTGGGAGAAAGTAGGAGGGGGGGGGAAGCGGCTCATTTGAGAGTTTGCTTTAATATCTGTCTTTCAGAGATCAAAGGATGTCATGTGCTCACACCTCATATTTCATAGGATCAATCACAAGCCATGTAAAATTCTCTTAAAAGTGCCTTATGCAATATAATAGCAGGTTTGGGTGACATTTATCTGCCGAGGGGAGGAAGGCTGATCACAGACCTATTGCCTTTTACAAAAAGGATTTCATCACACGGGCCGTCTTTAACGGATTTCTCACAATTGTCTTTGCGATTGTAGCCGAT